TGAGGAGTACATAGTTTCTAGACTGAATCTCTCCTCCCCACATTTTATGCATGGCGCCACTCTGAGGAGTACATAGTTTCTAGACTGAATCATCTCTTTGACTTGTTTGCCTGCTTAATAAGCAGTGGCATTTCATAATAAGTTTTCCACAATGCACATTGTTCTCATTACAAGCGCTTTGGTACGCCCTACCTTTGCAATACTAGAGGTATTTGTGGATTCATGTTGAACCATCATTCAAACATGTGTTTTTGGATTCAAAGTTTTGATTTGACCTACCAGACCTGGGCCCACCAGTTGTTGTCTTATAAGTTTTATGATAATATCAAGACATTTAGATTTTTTTCAGATGTTTCCCTGACTTTGTTTCAAAACAACATTTAGTCAATAGTTTGGATGCCCTTGTTTATTAGTTGGGTCTTGTTTCAGCTTTCAAGTGTGCCAATAGGATGATAATGCTTGAGCCATCATTCAAATCGTTGCTTCATGCTTGCTCCCAATATAAAGCACAATTGGGTCAAAAGTATGCAGTCAGTTGCCAACTACCATGTGGCATAATGCTTTTACAAGACCCAATCAATTTTATTCTTGTTCCTTTTTTCTTTCCTCATTCCAGAATTATCTCAAATAATATTTTCATTTATTTATTCTTCTTAATTAATTCCATGTGTCAGGATGAGGATGCATTCTACAGAGATTATGCAGAATCACATAAGAAACTTTCGGAACTTGGATTTAGTCCCAGATCCTCTGGTTCCAAGGGAACTTCGGATAGTATCATATTGGCACAAAGTGCTGTTGGAGTTGCAGTGGCTGCTGCCGTGGTGATTTTAAGCTACTTCTATGAAGTTCGCAAAAGAATGAAGTGAAAAGACCCAACTTGAATGCTGCATATAGTACCATAATAATTAGTTGAATCTACTTTGTCCTCTCCAGCCATGTGCCACTCTAGCCATGTGCCACATAGTGTTTCTTTTCTCAGACACATTGTTTATATCCTATTGGCACTACTTCTACCTAAAGAAACAGTAGGATACATTTAAAGATCCATAGACAGTACTGAAGATTGTCGTCTGAACAGAAAGATAAAAATAAAAGTCTGTTTTCTCCACCTGAATTTGGAATGACATAACTTCCGCTATCTGAATTGTGTTTAGCTTATTTATTTGTTCTGTACACTGATTATGGATATGGACTCCACAGCCATGCAATTGGAGTTTCAGGGGAAGATATATTTTTCTAGATGCAATTGAAGGCTATTTTACAGAGATCATCAAGATACTAATTACTGTTTCAGTGTAAATTATCTAACTTGTGTATTGGTTTTTTTGTAGTAAGCAATGTCAATAGATGTTGATTAATATTGCCTTCTAGTTTGTAGTTCTACTTGGCTATTCTCACTGTAGAGCTTTTGAAAAGAATGACTAGGTAAAAAAGATCTGAAGTGGGTGTCTCCATCAGCAGCACAAGAGAGTCCAAATACCAAGGTGGAAATTATTTGAAGCAAGCAACCAAATTTGAAGCTTCATTTATCCTCGTTGTGGGTCACTGAAACCGACCTTGCGCTAAGGTTAAAGGGAAAGAGACCCACATGGGGAGGACAGCTAAAGAAAAAAGAGGTAGGTAAAGAAAAGAGGAGAGAGTATTTTCATTTAGGACAATCCCACGAGTCTTGTTCAATACCTAAGCACATGCTTACAGATGTTGCTGTGCTGGCTATCATCAATACCTCATCCTGGTAATTTGCCAATCCTTAGCCATAGTTGAGCGCCTTAAGCAATCACTTAATTATATGATTTTGGTTAGTTTCCACCTCATCCAAAGTATTTTATTCTTATCTAATGTGCTTGTGTTTGTGTTTTTGTAGGCGAAGTCATCAATTTGAACTTAGGTACAAGCAGTCCTATTGATGTATTGCAAAAAGAGAAGGAAAAATAAAAAAGACTCAACTGATTGATTGCAACAGGAGAGCCATGATCAGTAAATATGTGTAGGTACATGTTTGATATATCATAATCTATGTGCTTGGTTGGTTTTTGTTACGTCTATGTAGGTAAATCATGGCTTGGCATTTAGGCCAGACCACCATAACTCATCTACCACCTTTCCTTCTCCTAGCACACTATGGATAGGATAGCACTGGCTTTTCGGGTAAAATATAGAATGCTTCAGAGTTGCCATATTTATGCACTAACTTCCTAATCATTTATAGTACTTCGGTTATCTTATATAGTAAGTAATAAAATTATTAGGTGTCACAAAACATTTCAGATATATAATACTACCGAAATACTAAAGTAAAACCTAATTGAAACTGGTTTATTGTTGTCCATATGAATAAACTTAGCTGGATTTTTTGCCAACAAAAAGAGAGATAAAAAGAAAGAGTATCTTTGAGAATAAAAATCTAGAACGGGTTTTTATAGTTCAACATCAAAGTGAGGCCACAGTTGAAGTATAGGTGCAAAGAACAGTGTGAAAGGTGAAAAGAGGAGGGAAAGAAAGTAGGTGAAATTCACAGATAATTACACAAGTGGACCTCTCTACTTCCTTCCTCTCTCTGTCTGTTGGAAAACAACCTCTGCCCATCATCTTTAACTCTTACCATCCACTTGAAATTCATGATGAGAGAGAGAGAGAGAGAGAGAGAGAGAGAAAAAGAGGGATGTGTGGTGGTGGGTAGCAAATAATACAAGGCAAAATTGGGGGAAGAGAAGAAGATAACAACAAAAAGAGTGAATCAACCTCTACATCCCTAACCCCCTACCCCCTTTTTCTTTTGTTGCCTATACTTACACCACAAGGTTAAAATTAAAAACCCTATTAAAATAAAAAATAAAAATAAAAAAATAAAAGTGGAAGGTGAACCAAAGCCCACATACAACCGCAACTACACTCATTAATCTTTCTTTATTTTTTAATTTTTCCTTTGATGCTCTTCCCTTTTCTATCCTCCTCCTTAAATCCCAACCTCCAACCCTTCTAGAGGCCCTCTCCCTCCTCTCACACACTCTCTGGTGTACCAATTGAATAAAGAACCACAACTACCATCTCCATACTTACACCCAAGAATTCACCAAAAAAGAAAAAAGAACCCACTTGTTTTTCGACATTATATTTCCTTTTCGCATTAGCCCACCACAACTAACTTACTAAATTAACAATAGTACTCACTTTTTCTCTCATAAAACCATGGATCTTCATCATCTCTTTAGGCATATCTATATATGCTACAAGAATGTATCCCTTACATTTGTGATATCTTTGTGGTATCTGTTTCCATGTATATATCATTAAATTTGTTCAAGTGGAATAATAAATTTTAGAAAATCTAATGGAAAAAGCAGTTTTTTTTTTCAAAAATACATAAAATATATATGGTTTAGTTGACAAGATGGCATGAGATAAATTTATTATAAAATTCTAAAAATTACAGTAATTTTAATACATTTAAATCTCATAAAGAAATAAATGACAAATATCCTAAGGATAAAATTACCTATATGTATAAATATAGTAATTGTAGGTAAAGACTCTACTTATTGATATTTACCACTGTGAAATCTAAAAATATTCACCTTTTTTAGGATAGATTCCATATTTTAACTATTTGAATTTGATTTTTTAAAGTGAAGAATAAATAAAATCATTAATTAATTAATATGCAATCAACTATAACACAATATAAATAATCTTTAAATAGAAAAACATATGAGAGTATAGTCTGATTCGAATATAAGGTATTATATAAAGAAAAATATATCAATTGTTAAGTTATCAGTTATTAATATATATATATACATGCCACTGATGACCTATGGAGCTTTTTTTTCTTTCCCGAAAGGCATGACCTAAGAAGCTTTTAATTAGGAATATGTATAAGAAAATTGTGTTAACTTCAAGAATAAAACAGGGTTAACTAACACCATGTAAATATATAATAGCCGTTTCAATTCTCATAAAAAGTATTATTTGTATCATCAACCGAATATCTGGGACATGTTACTTGAGATTCAAGATTTTAAATTGTCCAAAAAAATAGAAAATTAATTGATATACAATATAATATAATATAATATAATAGAATTTAGTGGCAAGTAAAATCTCACCCAGATGCAGAATTATATATACATTTAAGTTCAAACATGATTAGCCTTAAAATATTGAGGGTCAGTAGACCTTCCTGGAAACCCCACACCCCTTAAGGTGTTAGTTCCAACAACGTGATATTTCTTTATATAAATATAATATATATATACATATATATGTATATATAGAGAGAGAGAGAGAGAGGAGGTGATAGAATTGATTAATTTAAAAGGGTTTTTGTGAAATGGATTCTGGTATATGTTGTCTAGTGAGTTGGGGAGGATTTTGAGAGGTAACTGAACTTAATTATTAATCTAATTATTGAAGTAGTTTAGTATATAGCTAATCAGAAAAGAAAAAGAAAAGTAAGAAGAAAAAAAATTAAAAAAAGAAAAAGAAGATCACATATTGCCTTGACTATATATATTTATATGTATAGATATATAGATATACTTTAATACATTACTTCACACCTACCTGAAGGTCACCTATACTTAATGTACCCTTTAACTTATTACTATGATTGATGCTAATATCATGGAGAGAGAGCCTACCAGCCACTCCCCTCTAACCTGTCTCACCAACTCGCATCTAGAAGCCATTAGCGTCATTACGCTTTTCTCTCACTTTCTCTCTCTCTCTCTCTCTCTCTCTCTCTCTCTCTCTATATATATATATATATATATATAATATGTATATATGATAGTCAAAGGCCTATATAAAGCCAGACCTCAAGTTCTAACAGGGGACCGGCCTTAATACTCCAGCAAACACACACAAGAAACAAAACCCCTCCATTCCTTTTCTTCTCAAACTGGATTAGAACACTAAAAAACACAGACAACACCCATTTATTTATATATATATATATATATACACATACATACATGTATCTAGAGAGAGGTATAGCAAGTAGAGTAGTTGGGTAGTAGTTTGTATATAGACTGATATATTCTCTATACCTGTATACATCAAATGGGAAGGTCTCCATGCTGTGAAAAAGCTCACACGAATAAAGGAGCATGGACCAAGGAAGAAGACGATCGTCTCATAGCTTATATCAAGGCTCACGGCGAAGGTTGCTGGCGATCGCTTCCTAAAGCCGCCGGTCTTCTTCGATGTGGGAAAAGTTGCAGACTCCGTTGGATCAACTACTTAAGGCCTGACCTTAAACGTGGCAATTTCACCGAGGAAGAAGATGAGCTCATTATCAAACTCCATAGCCTCCTTGGTAACAAGTAAGTTACTTAAACAACATGTTCTGTTTCTTTCTTTTTTTTTTTTTTTTCTATTTTCCTGTTTTGCAACCAGGAAAGTTCGTTTATTTTCCTTTTTTTTTTTTTTAATTCCAGATGGTCTCTTATAGCCGGGAGATTACCGGGAAGAACAGATAATGAGATAAAGAACTACTGGAACACACATATAAGAAGAAAGCTTCTGAACAGAGGGATCGACCCTGCAACTCACCGGTCAATTAATGAGACTACTTCTCAAGATTTGACTACGACGGCGACGACGACGGCGACCACAATATGCTTCGCCGCGGGTAACAGTAATAATTATAATCAAGAAGATCAAAAGGAGAAGTCTTGCAGCAACAGTACGAGCACTGGGTTTATTTGTAAAGAAGAAGGAAACCCAGTTCAAGAAAGGTGTCCAGACTTGAACTTGGAGCTCAGAATTAGTCCCCCGTACCAAAATTTCCCGTCTTACGATCAACATCAGCCGCCATTGAAGATGAGGGGAGCAGTTGCAGAGAGGTTTCCGCATTGTTTTGCTTGCAGTTTGGGATTGCAGAACAGCAAGGATTGTAGTTGCAGTATGGGGATTGTAATTAGCGGGAATGGAACAAGCAGTCCGGGAAGTAATAGTAGTAATATTACAGGTTATGATTTCTTAGGGTTGAAAACTGGTGTTTTGGATTACAGAGGTTTAATGGAGATGAAATGAAAATTAGATCAAATCAAATCCTTCATGTTTTCTTTTAATTTTTAGTTTTATTATTATCAAGTGTAGCTGCACAGAATGATGAGACAAATGAGTAAAAAAAGAAAACAAAAAAAAAAGGATTGCTATTAGTCAAAAAATCTCTGTTAATATTGCTGATGTACTTTCTCATATATAATTGTATGATTATTATACATACATGCTATATATGCCACACATAGCATATCAGTTATATATGTATATACAAGTATTTACTCATGGGTCAAGTCTAAAGTTCAATTATATAATTCAAATTTTTGTTAAATTTTTTAATTTGACATAAACATATACATACAATAGCACACTCAATACCCTTTTATTAGAATAGAATTATTAGTTATCGAGTATAATAAGACCACATAAGTATTTGCACTTTTTATAATTTTTAAATATATTGTAGTAATTTAAAAGTACACCTTACATGTATTTATTGCCACAAAGAGATTTTTTTTTTTCCTATGTAGTTTCAATTTTAAAAAAAATAAATAATGGGTTTTTATTACATTTTATCAAACGTAAATAATTAGTAAAACTGATATAAAAACATATATATAATTATTATAATTTCTGGATGAATATATATATATATATTTCAACATGTCCCCTATTTGAAAGTCAAAGTTATTACATGTTTAATTTTAATCTTTTTAAAAGATATACTATACTGTATATATGAATCTGTATCGTCATGAGCTGATCCGTGTGATGATGACAACAACAAGAACTTATTAATTAGTCTTGGAACATTAATTTCTTCTCCTTTTTTTAATTTCGTTTTGTAAATTTTTGTTTCACATTTTAGATTCCTTTGGGATTTGTCTCGCATATTATATATGTGTGTGTGTGTGTGTGTATATATATATATATATATATATATATATGCTCCAGAGAGAGATAGAGTTGATTTTAATTTATAAAATTAGAATCATTAAGGGATAAGTTGTGAGAGGAGGAGAAACCAGGACAACGGTGTGGTGACCTGGTGGGTAACCTATCTCTTCCACCCCCTAATAAAGGCACAATACACGTATATATACATACATACGTACGTATTTATTTATACATCTATACATACACCATATGTATATAAATGTGTGAGGAAACTAATTAACAACTGTCCATACTCTACCAAACCAACATTAATTAACCAAGCCATGAGCCAACCAACTTCATGTTTATAGATATGAGAACCCTAATAATATCATTTGTTTCTTTCACCTTTTGTACTATATTTTATATATAACACCATATATATACATGCATGTATCCTGGAGTTTTGGTAGATTATTTAACAATAACTAAAAATAAATTATAATTTTATTAATTTTATCTTATATATACATTTTCCTCTTATTTAAAATTTTGTCTTTTTGCTTTTGACATTGTCTTAACTTTAGTTTGCTTTTTGTTATTATATGATGTTTATTTTGTATTACACACGAAGTATGTTTGTATAAATTAATTATATAATATATAAATTATAATTAATTCAAAATTAAATTTTATTTTTACATTTAAAAATTTTTAATAAATAATTATTATATATATTATTAAAATTATTTTTGTATTTAAAAATTATCAAAATTAAATTCTATTTTTATGTTTAAAAAATTCAATTAAATAATTATTATTTTATCATCATATTAACTCTATTTTTATATTTTACAATTTGAGATGATAATATTTACAATTTTATCTCTACATTGTAAAGGCCTAAAATTTAATGGAAATGAAGATATTGAATTAGTAAAATAATAGCGGAAGCAATTATTAATTTAGAATTTACATTGCTTACACAATAAATCAGAATGTCCAATAGAATTTTGAGAATGTCCTCCTTTTGGGAGTTAAAATAATAGAAACAAAAAAAAAACTAAAATCATATAAGGTTAACCTAAGCTGGGCAACTATAATGGGATGCGGACGACTACTCTTAGTCACAACCTTCTTGCAGTTCAGGATCAAAATCTTGATCTTTCTAATCTAAAATGATTAAATAAGGGAGATGAGTTACACTAAACCAGTAAGAATATCAACACTTAACACCGATACAAAAAATCAAATATTGATAAAAATAACAAAATGACCACGGAAGCCATTTACTCTTTTTTTAAAAAAGTGAATTTATTTAATGTAAAAACGTAACGTTAGTTTCATATTCACTTTTTTGAGTTTTTAAAATTGGCTTATGAAGGCAATAATAAGGATAGCAATTTATTACAATATTTAAAGGAAAAATAATAATAAATATTATATTTTTACCTACTTACCGGTACCTCTGGGAGTTCATAGAGGTTTTCCCTAAGCGTGGACTCAATATAAAATTTTATCAATTAACCAATCATCCCCATAACCCGTCCGGTAATAGGTGTCAAATGTATCATTGCCCTAATACCTCGTCCAGTATGAAGGTGAACTATACCTTCCAACATCTTTCGATATGAGACTTCTCAGTCCCGTTCAACTGAGTTAATATCTATGATATAATTTTTCTTATGTACTGAGTTCATAAACCCTTTTTCATGATACTCGATAAGCCTTTTATGCATAAATTCACGTCATTAACTAGCCACCAATTACACGCAATCATTTCACATTTTCATATCAATAGTACTATATGTAAGCAAACAATACAAACAATTAAGAAAATGAGATTAGGACATTTACTTCAGATTAGTCAATTGGTGAGAATGACAACTTAGTAATCAATAAGCGAGAAAATAATTAAAATCAATAAATAATAACAATTTAGGTAGTATAGGAATAAACAAGCAGCATAGCTAGGGCAATTACATACTAACCAGTTACTGGCTCTATTGGTGATCTGTATTCAATTAATTAGTGATTTTTAATTTTTACAAAAAAATACACTGTTATTAATTATTAAACTTTAATGTATCGTAACAAGAGAAAATGGTGAAAATTTCTTACTCCGAATCGGTGTTCTAAACACTGTCTCTTTCACTACACTTCCTAGCAGTTCTCGAATTTCTTGAATTTTTTCTACGAAAATAAAAAATACACGTCACGTATTCTAAAATACCTCAAAAAGGTAAAAAAAAAATAAGCATTTTAAATTTTTTCAGCCAGTTTAGGGTTTCAGCACGGCGGCACCGCCATGCTCCAGAGCCGACTCTACCACCCACAGCGGTGTCTCCTCTTGACCTAGCCGTTTTCGGCCGATTTTAGTTGGTTTTACACGAAAATCTGTAAAAAATGAGGTTAGACGACCTCTGTTAACTGGAAAAGGAAAAATTTGAGGCATTATTGGCAGAGGAGCTTTCTAGTACAGCGGCTCCGCCATTCCTCTCTCACGGCCAGGGGTTCCCTTCAGTCGACCTACACCAGAAAAAAAAATTAGGAACACAACGGTAGGAAAATTGAAGGGAACAAGAAATGGAAAATGGCTCACTAGAGCGATTTTTGGGTCGAGATTGCAGCGGCTCGGTCGAGCCCCACTCTCAATTTTTGGCTTCCCTTTTGGCTTTTAGGCTCAGATATGGGTGTAGGGAGATTCGAAATCGAATTTCGAACAAAAAGGAAGAAAATTTTACCTTTTTGGCATCGGCAGTGGCTCCGAGGTGGCGGCGATGGCGGTCGATTTTCTTTCTGATCACCCTTCTACTTTTTCTCCAGCGAGCTCAGGTGCAGATAAAGTTAGGGTTTTGGGGATGAGATGCTTTTATACCTATTTCGTGTCGATCCCGGCCGTCCGTGACGTGATTTACTCATCGTCGTTGGATCACTCTTATTTGAAAAATTAATCTAGACCGCACGATCTAATCAAATATAGTCGTTCAATTGTGTATAAAGGAGAAACAGATCTGGGTCATCTGTGCGTGCGGGAGGAGATTTGGGCCGTTGGATCTTTTGGCACGCGGATCGCCCATGTGGACGTGTAAGCGAACTCTATCAGGGATAGGTGATCGTCCTAATTTCTTTCGAAATTTAGAACACAAACCTTAAGCATATCCTCCAGTATACGAACAGTTCATTCTGATTATCCATCTATTTGAGAGTGGAATGATATGCTAAGGGATAGTTTTATTTCCATTACTTACTGAAAACTTGACAAAAAATGAGAGATGAATCTGAGGTCCCTGTCTGATACCACTATCACCAGGACTCCATGTAGTCTAACTATCTTCTGGATATAAATTCCTACTAACTTGTCTAAAGGGTCGGTCATTTTGATGGCCAAGAAATGAGAGGACCTGATGAGTCAATCAATAATTATCCAGATTGCATCATGCCCTGAACGTGCCTTAGGCAACACCCTATTACAGAATTTATAATGATATATTCCCATTTTCACTCCAGGATTAGTAATGGTTGAAGTAGCTTGCCTGGGCGTTGATGCATAACCTTAACCTGCTGATATACAAGGCACTTAGAGATGAAATCGATAATTTTCCTTTTCATCATGCTCTATTAGAATCAAGATTGCATGCTTTGGTATATCTTAATACTTCCGGGATGCATGGTGAACTTTGAATTATGAACCTCTATTATGATATCATATTTTATTTCACTATCATTTAGAATATATACCATGTCTTAGAACCTGAGCAACCCATCGGCAGAGACTCGAAATTATGGATTTACACCCTGTTTTGTATCTTTTCTAAGAGCTACTAGAGTGGGATCAGTCAGTTGGACTTCCTTTATTCTTTGACTCAATTCGGGTTGGACAGTTAGATGAGCCAAACATGTGAGTATTTTCAAATCCTGAAGTTGTATCTACTATGCAGCCTTTATTATCCTACATTCAAGAAACTATTATGTGAGCCAACATACCTGCACTTTTTCTACTAAGAGTGTTGGCCACCACATTACCCTTCTTTGAGTGATATAAGATCTTACAATTGTAGTCCTTGAGGAGCTCTATCCAATGCCTCTGACGCATGTTGAGATCCTTCTATGTGAATATATGCTTTGAGCTCTTATGATCTGTATAATTCTCAAACGTCTCCCTATACAAG